AGAACTATGCTGCTATGAAACTGGTGAAACCTTTCAACTGAAGCTGTGCTGGGAACCACCTGAAGGTCCCGTGCCTGCCTGGGGGCTTTGGGAAGAAGCTGTGGCTCTGCACTGGATCATACCAGCAGATGGAGGAGGAACAGTCCCTCTCAGGCCCTCGGCTGCTGCCAAAAAGAATCAAAGAATCATTTTGGTTGGAAAAGACCTTTAGGATCATCAGGTTCAACCATGAGAAGATACAAGTTCCCCTGAGGCATCATGCAGGATCCCACCTCCAGCACTCGCCTGGGGAGCAGCACGTAAAAAACACCTCCTGAAACACTTCTTCTTTTGCTTCTTTACCTGTCTTCTTCTTTTGTTGTTCTTGTTAAGCTGCTCTGATTTGTAAAGCTTGAATACCAGTGCAAAACTGAAGAGGGTAGGGGAGGAAGGGACCTGTTCATGTACAGCCTGTGTGTTAGGCTCATGTGAGCACCCCGAGATGCTGCAGACCTTGGTGGAGGAGTGCTGGTGCTGCTGCTGCAGGCAGCCAAAGCCTCTCATGTTCTCAGCACACTTTTCTTTGCACTCTGAACAAGCCTCAGCTTTCCTGCAACGTGGATTATCTGGTGTGTATGTGCCTACTGAAGACAAAACGTGCAGCACAGCCTGGAACCCTGGGCTGATCCATTGCTGCTCCAAACCAAGCGAAAACCACCAAGTGCAGGACCCAGGGAAGAGGCTGAGATGCAAAAACTGGGCAAGGGGGGGTCAGTGGAATTGCTAAACCAAAACTCCTATGGCATGTTGCACTCGTGAGGGATGGCACAGCCTGGCTCATGTTTTTTGGAGCTTGTTTTCCCCCTGAGCTGCTCTTTCATCTCTCCAGTCCTACGTGCCTCCCTTCTCAACCAGTGCTGTTGTGTCCAAGGCAGCAGGGCCAGGCTGAGCCCTCCCCAGGAGCCATCCCAGGAGCAGAGCAGGGCACGGGCACTTTGCTTCTCTCCTCTCCTGCTTTAGGCCCTCCCTGCAGCCACAAGCCCATGAATGCATTAGTTTTGTGGGGTTTTTTCTCTCCTCTTCTCCCAAACATGCTTAAGCAGGACGGTGCAACCAGAGTGCGAGGTGAGCTGTGGAGCTCACTGCTGTGGGGCAGAGAACCTGCACTCCTGCCAGTGGGTTTGGTGCCTTTCTGCTTTGCAGACAAGCTGCTCTGAGACATATCCTGCAGGTCTTGCTCAGCTGGGATCATAGACTCATGGAGTCAGAGACTGGTTTGGGTTGGAAGGGATCGTAACAATCACCTAGCTCCAACCCCCCTGCCATGGGCAGGGACACCTCCCACTAGACCAGGTTGCTCCAGGACCCATAGATGGGGCTGTGGGGGCATTCATGCTGTTTTCTGCGCCATCTGTCTCTCTGCTGCTGCAATCAGGCAGAGCAGTATCATCTAAGGGATTTCTAGCATTCTGTAGTTGTGGCTCATGTCATGTGAGGATGCTCATCAGAACAGCATTAGTCTCCAGTTTCCATCCTGTATCCAGTTCCTGCAAAGGAACCATCTCCCAGAACAGGGACATCAAGCATGAAAGCAAATGTCCCTTTGAGAAACAGCTGTTCTGCTGCTCCAGCACTGCATGGCTTTACTGTGGTCCCTCTGATGAGAAATAGATCCTTCCCTTCTGCCCTTCAGCAGGATGAGACATTTCTTCCTTGGTCTTGTTTATCTCCCAGAGCTGTTGCTGCTCAGCATGACGTGTGAGAACAAGTAGCAGTAAAAAGTGATCCTGGGGGATCAGAGTTTCTCAGGACAAACTGTGCTAATGTGAGCTCCTGCTCTGCTCCAGCAAGGCTCTCAAGTCTGTGCTCAGCAGAAGGCAGGGCAAAAAAAACAACACCCCAGGCCTAATTGCTTTGCTGGCTTGGGATGTGCTGAGCATTAAATCCCTTGTTGCTCAGGACTGTGAGAGCACCCAGATTGCACAGGGCAGCTCATGTGTGGAGATGATGGAGAACATGCAGCTATAAAACCCTGGCCTTGCTGCTGAGGTTTGGCTGATCCAGCAGCCCCTTCCCAAAAGCCTGAGCAGTGAGGTTGGCTCTGGCCTTGCACACCCCAGGGTGGGTAGTTCATTTCACTGGCATTTGTTCAGTTTTCCCCTCCCAACCTCATTTGCCTTCGTTGGCCACTATCAAACTACCAGGTCTGGGTCAGGTTTTCCATGATGCTTTCTCCTTGAGGACCTGATGAGCTGAGGACAAAAGCTGCTTCTACTTGCAGCTTAATGAGTTTTGGGCTTTGTATTTTGTGCAAGTGTTGGTCCCTGTAGCTCTTCCACCATGTCCCACCTCTGCCAGGGCTGGATCTGTCTTGCTGAGCACTGGCAAACCTTCCTCTCCTGTCCACGGTGGGAAATCCAGCCCATTATTTCACTTCCTTGCTTTGGTTTGCAGACACTGACATTTCCCATCCTGGCCTTACTGTTCTATGACTCCTGCCCATGGCAGAAACTAAATCTTGGTGCCAAGAGCCCTGATGAGACCAGTGCTTCATTCTTCAATGCAAAACACTGCTTATCTCTGGGTGCTCCTCACCCATCCTATCACAACAACCACTGTCTGTCCCAGCAGAGACCAGCAAACCTGTCAAAACACACTGGTGTGTTACCTTTCCAGAGCCTCTACTGGTAAGATATATTTCATGCCCCAGCACTTGCCAGCAGCTCTTCCCTGACCACCCAGGTGAGCCACAGAGATTTGAGAGCAAGATCCAGGGCATCCAATTGCACAAGGAAAAGGAGAGAGTTCTATTGCCTCATGCAATCCTCCCTGCTCCCAGCCCAGGCTGTGGGGTCAGATCTCATGCCAAGAAGACTCCCTGGGACTGGGGTGGGTACAAGCAGGTCTGAGCATCTGCAAACACCAACTCAGGCCCATTTGCATTGCTCTTTGAACAGCCATACCCATCTGTTGGCCTGGCTGTGGGCTCTCCAGAGCTCAGCTCTGCCTCTCCACCAGAGCCAGCCAGGAGCTACAGCTTAGATATAGTATTATCCCTTTTGGCTCCCTGGCTCTCAGGGGTTTGAGATGGTGGGAAGATGTGTGTATCACCTGTCTATGCCTTACCTGCAATTCTGCAACGTGCACTGTGGTTACAAATGAAATGCTCTGAAAACTTCTGCTTCCTGGTGTGTGTTATTGTGTTGATGGAATGAGGGCACCTTCCCTCCTTCGGTGTGGGAATGCAAAAACACTGTGGGAAGGAGCAAGTCTGGGGGATGGTGGCTGTTGTGCTCCTGTTTTCTCACCTCTCTGATGCTGTTGCAAGGGAGCAGAGATGGAAAGAGAGAACAGAACATATGGAGAAGAGAGGACAGATCATAGAATGCCAGGATGGTTTGGTTTGGAAGGGATCTTAAAGATCAGTGTCTTATCACTCTCACAGCCTAGAATTTCTCCCTCAGATCTCATCTTGATCTCTCCTCTCCCAACTGGAAACCCTTCCCCCTGCTCCCATCCCTCCCTGCCCTTGTCCAAGCCCCTCCCCAGCTTTCCTGGAGCCCCTTCAGGCACTGGAAGCTGCTCTCAGGTCTCCCTGGAGCCTTCTCTTCTCCAGGCTGGACAACCCCACATTTCTCAGCCTGTGTGTACAATTTAAGGCTGGAGCTTTGAAGTGTGTGAGCTCCTCTGGGGACACCCTGACACCCCCCTGTTGTGTTCAGCCCCTGAGCTGGAGGGCAGCAAGGTGAGGGGCTGGGAAGCTGCTGCCCTGCAGAGGGGCTGAACCCCCTCCTCCTCCACCAGATTTCACTGGCATGTTGAGATGAACCATGCAAAAGAGATGAACTGGTTTTCCTCTCCACTAATAACTCTGCTATTCATTGCCTGCTCTTACTTGCTCAGAAGAGAGAGGCTTCCACCTGGCAGGGTGGGCTGCAATGGAGAGGTTGGAGGGGAGGGAGATGGAGCAGGGGTGAGGGGGACAAGGGGTGGGAACCAGGTGAAGTCCCTGCCATAAAATCACTTTGCACAGCCCCTTGCAGTCCTGTTTGTTGGCTTAACCCCTGTGGATGGGGCTGGTGGTTGGTTTTGCTTATTACCTGCTGACAGGACAAGAACACATCTGGTGCTTGGAGTCCAGGAGAACTGACTTAAAGGAATGACCTGTAGAGAAGACCCTCGTGGCCTCCTGGCCCCAAAGTCCATCAATCTTCAGATGGGAAGGTGGAGTTAGTCCTGGCCTCAAATGACACATCAAATTTCAGTCTTGATTTGAGGTCTAACCCCTCAAAACACTCCCAGATACAGAAGGGTGTTTACTGGTCCTGGAACGTCCTCCCTGATAGAGGCAAACAGAGAGGAGGTTATTGAGTATAAAGGCTGCTCTGTTGGCTCTGGACCTCCTGGGCTCATAGTCTGAGCTTTCTAGCAGCCTCCCCTATGGACAGCACTGTGCCAGCCCTGCTGGGCCATGCCAGCCCTGACCCTGCTGCTGCAGCCTCTCTTCATCCAGACAAGCCAGACATCAGGCCCTTGGGGGATGAGCTGCTCTGATCTGTGTGTCGAGGTTTCCGGGCTCTGCAGGGGCTGAGGATGGAGACACCCAAACAAGGGGGCATGAAGCTGCTGTGTCTGCTGTGCAGCAGCTTCCAGAAGGAAAATGAGCTTCCCCCCAGTCTGCTTTGCCCATTCACATCCCAGCCTCCTCCAGTAAGCAAACCTTTAACACGCCCTGCAGCAGAGCAGGCTCAGCACCAAGGAACGTCCTCTTACCTTGGAGTGCAACTTGGCCTCTGCCTTGAGCAGACCCCAGGGACACCCCCAGGTTGCTTGTCTCCCTGGCACTTGGCAGCTCTGTCCTTGCCTTGGAGCAGTGCCTCCTCATCCAGCAGCAGGAACATCATGGAGTTGTACCCACTACCAGGGGTGTTGAACAGAGTCCTCTGGCACTGCATGGGGGGTGTCCCAGCTTCTCCTGCAGCTCCTGGGACAGCAACTGCTTGCACGTCCATGAATCCCAGGCTGGTTTGGGTGGGAAAGGACCTTGAAGATCATCAGGTTC